TCTCTCTCTCTCTCTCTCTCTAGTCTCTCCAGGGGCATTTAAGTGTATAGGGTCTATATAGGGGACATATATATATGGGGTTTAGGGTTTATATAGGGGATAGAAAGGGGTTTAAGTTTATGAGGGGTTTGGGGTTCAGGGTTTAGAGTCGATTTGCTCAAGGCTTTGGAGTTTGGACCCGTAGGACTTTCAGCTCAGGGTTGTGGACTTGGAGTTTAGGGTTTAGGGTTTAGGGCTTTAGGGTTGAGGGGTTAGGGTTTAGGGTTCAGGGTTTAGGACTTGGAGTTTAGGGTTCTGAGTTTTTGGTGTCGGGCCCGCGTGGCGGTCCGCAGGAATATTGGCGCGTTCATATGTGGATGTCCAGTTGTTGAGACCGTGAGCTTGAGTCTTTTGTTGCGGAGGCGGTTGCGGTCCCTAAACCCCAAGACCCAACAACCCTAAACCCTTAAAACCAAAAACCCTAAACTATAGGTTCATAATTGGTCTGCCTATAGCAGGCGTGGCTTGCACTAATACTGTTTTAAAGCTACAAGTCTGAACCTGAAACACTGCGTTCGGATTTTGGGTTCACGCTTTGTCAATGTACGATAGAGGTTAGGAGGACCCGCCACCCTGTAATACTGGTATACTTAAGAACATAAGAGGGCCCTAATATAATTTGTATTATCCCTTCTAGTCACTATTACGGGGTCGGGGGTCCACCTAAGATAGAGGGCAGGGCCTTGGGTTGGCAAAAGAAAGCCAAGCGATTTTGTTTTTTTTCCAAATACCCTAACCCCCCCAAAAGTATGTAAGATAATAGCCCTAAACCCATAACAATAGCCATAAAGGCCATTATTTTACCTACTTTTGGGGTACAGGTATTCCCTATCAAAAACATCAAATCCTGAACAAGGACTCCCGAGTTGGCCCCGCCCTTCTCTTTGGGAATTCCACTTATCAGCGGCCTGAGCCCCCTCCTTTTCATTCAGAAATATTCCTTGTACTGCGGACCCCCCCGAAAGGTGCCCTGGAGTTTAGAAAAAATCCCAGTACCAGCGGATGATCACGACAAACCGAAGGCTTGTGATGATATGGTTGAACTGGTGTCCGTACCTAGGGTTTTACGCTGAACCCCAACTAAATGACGTCTGGATCCCTACACCCTAAACCCTTAACCCTAAACCCTAATCCCGTAGTTTCTATACCGCCAGATTTCTCACCCAAAGCTCTAAACCTATAAATCTTATTAAGTATCCTTCGAGAAAACAGTTTGTGTGGAATGGGCTAGGAGATTGGATTTTCACCGGGGACGTTCACATAGGGCTTTACAAGAAAGAGGGGCCCAAGGGTTTAGTGTTCAGGGTGTAGAGTGCAAGGTTTAGGGTTTATGATGGGATATCTTCCGTGCGTACTGGCACCTCTGGACTGGAACTGTGGACAGCGTACTGTGGTCCAACGATCCGTTCTTGGCACTTACGTGCGGCCCCTTACTACAGGTTTGCGCCATTTCCCTTGCCCTGCGGACTACCTGAGCTTTCTCATGGCGTGCTCGGGGACACACGTTGTTGGACATCGCGAGCATTTGGATGCTCTCCGTCAAGCTCGAGCTCGCGTGCTTGCGGTGCTGGACGTCGTTCGCTGACGTGGTTTGGCCTGCCCCAGCATCGATGGCGTGCCTGGAGTGCTCTTCTTCTGGACCCCACTTGGTCTGGAGCTCGAGGATTGGCTGCAGCTTCGCCTGAACATCAGTCCTGGTTCGCCGTTGGATCTGAGTGCTGCAGCCGCGCGGCTCGGTGCGACTGAAGCCGGCCTTCCGCAGGCGTGGAATGTGGGAGAGCCGCCGGAGCGGGACCTGGGCCGGGCCTGCACCAGTCGTGTGGCGGCCTTTGAGGGCGCCGGTCCGTGGCTGTTGGGTGCGCCTCTTCGTCTTCCAGCAGCTCGTACCCATGGAATTTATCGCCGGCGGGTCACGGTGGACCTTTTCACGGTGTCCAAGACGCATGCTGCCCTGAAGTTCTTCTTACTTGCGTTCGAGGCGATTGATCATGCTTCCTCGAATGAGTCCTCGCCTACTGCCTGCAGCGTCCGCACAGGGCTGCGGCTAGCACAGGTCCTTTTGCCATCTCCGACTCTGAACCCCAAACCCTAAAATCCTAACCCCTAAACCCTAAAATCCTAAACCCTAAGCCCCAAACCCTAAATCAAAACCCTAAGCCCCAAACCCTAAAATCGTAAACCCTAAGCCCCAAACCCTAAAATCCTAAACCCTGAACTCCTAAACCCTAAATTCCCAAACTAGGTGCGAGCCCTCCTTGCACTGCGCCGCTTCGAAGAGGCCAGGGATGCGACCCGGAGCGCGCTCAAGATGCAGAGCTGGGAGGCCTGGCACAAAGTCCCTGTAAGGGGGGTTAGGGATTAGGGTTTAGGATGTGGGTTTAGGATTTAAGATTTAGGGTTTAGGATTTAGGATTTAGGGTTAATGTTTAAGGTTTAGGGATTAGGATTTAGGGCTCAGGGCGCGCAAGGGGTTATAGAGAGATATGTAGGGGCATATACGGGTTTAGCAATTAAGGGATTGGTGTTTATGGGGGTTATGGCTTAGGCAGATTATGGTTTGGGAGGCCTACGGGGAGGATGTAGGAGTTCTGTAGGGATATACGAAGATTCAGGGGCCTAAACTGCTTCAATAGTAGAGAATCAGCTGGAAGCTGGGCTTGTGTAGTGGTTGGGAGGCCTGGGAGGGTCCTCTTAAAGGGGTCACATAGATATCATAGAGATAGAACGTGATTGGGGGATTCAGGGACTCAGGGTTTTTGGATTAGTGTTTGGGGGCTTTAGGGGTTTAGGGCTAACACTGGCATGCATTCACCGTCATTCCAAAACAACATGCCTGTCTCGTCATAGAAGCGCTAGCCATCAACACTCTAAATCCTAAATCCTAA